ACCATTAGCTACGACAAGGCTCATGTTCCAAAAAAAAACTGTACGTGATTCCATAAAAAAATCTGAAGAAACTGGATGGACATGTGATAGACCATCTGAATGATGACAATCTGAATCATCTAGATGATCTGAATGACTATGGGCCCTATTCATGACATTTTTAACCACAGCGTTAAGTGAGATTTACGGAATCACGTGGTACTCTGACGTCACAAGTAGTTAAATCGCAAGTATTTGGTATTCTCAAAAGCTAAAAAAATTTATCGTTAATGAGAGAGGCTGTTAAAGAGGACAGGTCACTTCATGCTAAATAACAGATGGTATAATTCCAGCAATAAACATGGCGGAGGTTTTGCATCAGTTTTACTGAAGCGATCTGGATGAAATCAGTCGAATTTCTCTGCATCGGCAGCGAATTTCCATGATCGAAGCAGCGTTCGATTTACATACAATATAGACATGATAATTAATTATCGTCAAGATTAATGAATTCTGGGTCCAGAAAGTTGTTGGACCGTAAGATCAGCTTCGTATCTTTCCATAGAATGTTAGAAAAAATTACTCTTCATATTTCTTCAAAAATGTGTATCTATTCACTCACTTATTACGATCAACTGATTTATAAATACAAAATCAATTGCAGAATTTGCATGTGTTGTGCAGAAAAAATTGCCAATACCGTTTGTGATGTTTCTTATATCGCAAATAGGTTATCTGTTTTAAAATTGTATCCTACATTTCATGAAACTTTGTGCTGTTATCACAAGGTAAAAGTGATGTGCTTATTTGATTTAATTTTTACTATACGACAGGTATTTAATTTGATTCTAATATATTGCCGCCAAATCTGCTAGTGGCCCAGTGTTAAAACTTGTGGGATCAATTATAAATAATTTGTTTTTTCTTCATAGTAAGATAATATATTCTGTATTTTTTAGGAATTAAACAGTTTTAAGTCAAGGCCATTTTTCTGCTTCTCAGTATGACAAAAACTTACTTTAAGCTTATATTTTGTTTTAGGTTAGCTGCTTAAGTAAGAATATTCTATATAAAGCTGTTGATTTATAATAAAAAAAATATCAAATTTTGCGTGCAATTTTAATATAATGGAATGAATTGGCACTGCATTAGGAAAAAAAGTGAAAATTTCTATTTTGCATTATTTTCTATATGTGTTTTGCATATGCTGTTTACAAGAGGCCTTAATCTTAGCTAAAATATTGTATGTTTTTACATATGGAAATTAATTAGAATAACTGGATTTAAGCATTGTCCTTGCAGTGATTATAGATTGAATCATATAGGTTATGGAATTATCATTAAATATTCAGATAAGTAATATTATACATATGTATGTTTTTTCATCATAATGGATTAATTCTATAAATTTATCAGTATTTTCTATGTATTAAAAAAGAGCTATCAATACAAATAATTGATTTAGTAAATAATATCTGCATTTTATGTAAAAGTATATTTTTATTTATTTATGTATGTATTATTTTTTAAATTTTATTTTTAGCTAAATAAATGGGAAATTTTTTATATGGAATTTTTACTCTACTAAATCTATACAAAAATTGATTTTTTGCCATCAGAGCACTGAAGTATTTTTTACAGGCATTCCGCACTTCAATTCTAAAAGCATTATAATTTAAAGGTGCATGGCTTGAACCAGTATTTAAAATCATAAATGCCTTTAACTGCCTTTTCTGGAAACACATGCTAAATAACATTTTTAACCAGTTTGTTACAATAATAGATGTTAGATTCCATATGAGCAAACTTAAAATAGCATATTTAAAAACAAAAACAATGCTTTATATGCAGACAATGTTATTAATTTTTTTCAGAAGTTTTGAAACTGTGAACTTGCTAGATATATTAAAAGCGCCAGCATGCACTTATGTTATTTATCATGTAAAATTTGTTTACACTTTTAGAAAAGTAGCTGTTGATTCAAGAAAGCTTTAGAAACTTAAAAATTACTGAAGTTGTATTCAACCAAAACTTTAATGGTCCAAATTTTAACATGTAATTTAATAAAATAATATGCTTAAGTCATCAGTAACTGAAATGCCATAGCTAGAAATTAAGAATATCAACTAATAGAGCACTGAGAGACTTCTAAATTTTTATATGACACATGAAATTACCTTAAATTCTAAAAGGAAAAAATAAATATGAATATGATTATAAATCCAGACATCTCATAAAATTTAAGCATACAGCGGCGAGAAATTATTGTCAAAAATAGATTTCGAGATCTTAACATATGCATGTATTTAAAGTAAAAATGGAAAATCAATAAGGATTCAAAAAGAAAGTATTTTTACATATAAAATGTGAAATATAATATATGAAAATGTTTTAGAAACTTTTAAAATAACTTAAATCATATGAGAAATTGGAGTTTAAAAAAATCAAGAAAGAAGCTGAACTGCAGAGAAAAAGGAGGCAAAAGCCACATATCTTATATGAATGCAAAAATTGGGAAGTTGAATACCCTAGACTGCTAAATAAAGTTTTAGCGAACACCACTAAAGAGCCAAAGATGGCACCCAAACCTAATTACAACCCTAAAGCGTGGCTACAACATGAGGCCTACCCTAGAAGATGGATGACAAGCAGCCTGTATCTCTAGTAGCTGTAATATGATTGGCTTATTTTAACGAACTTCCCCAACTCTCGAACGAAGGTTACTTACCGTAAGGATCCCTTCGACGCTCGTTGTCACGAATGCCAATTTAACCAACAGTCCTTACGGTTACTGGAGTCATAAAATTTAGCGATTGTCCATTAAGAAAAGATTGTTATTTATGCTTCTTGTCATGAATAGGGCCCTATGTGTTTCTGCTGAAGTTGTTGTGGAAGTGCATATGATTAGTGCAGGTTCACTGCATACTGCAAGAAATGTTACCTGCAAGTTTGAGGTGCCAAAAATCATAGTCCTCAAGCTTCTGCACTCTGTTCTAGGAATGTTTCCTTATCAATTCCAGCGAATCCAGATATTGCAACCTGTAGACAAGCAACAGCGTTTTGACTTTGTGAGATTTTCCTCATTAGACATGATGAAGACGGCAGATGGCCATTGTGGACATTATCAATAGATAAGATGCATTTTTCCTTAACTGGGAATGTAAACTTCAAGAACTCACTGGGCTGACAAAAATCCTTATGATGCGGCACCAGTGCCTTTACATGAAGCTAAAAATGACTGTTTGGCACAGCATCACAAGCCCTTTAGTTCTTGGTCAGTACTTCTTCTAAGAGGTCACCTTCACACACGTTTGGTATATAACAGCAGCAAAATGTCATTAATGACACTGTACGTGTGCAAAATGATGCTCCTTTACATGTCACTGTATGCGTTTGCAAGTGCTGCAACAGCGTCATTTCCATAACTTTGCAGTTTTGTGGCTACTACAATCCCCTGACCTCACTCTGATGGATTTCTAGTTCTGGGATTATCTGAAATCTAAGGTGCATATATCAAATCCACAAGATTTGTCAGAATTGAAAGATGCCATAAAACTTGAAGTCATACATATTCCTCTTGCCATGTTATGTCATTGTTTTCAGCAATCTCCCACATGGAATGTGTTATCATCTATGAAGTTGGGCATGCTGAAATCTTGTAATTATCAATAGTTCCCCCCTCTCCTCTCTTGTATTGTCACTGCTCATTTACAATTGTCTTCTTTGCAAATGTTTTACATCAACAATTTCTGTTACATGTGTATTGTTCCTTCATTTATGACTTTTCAATACACTGATCAATTTCCTCAGGAAAAAAAGAGTGGGATCAAACAGTGTATTGTTTCAACGTCATTTATTGCTTTTCAGTATGCTGATCAATTTGCACATGAAAAAAGGTGGGTACTGCCATTCGAAAATTTTGAAATATTTTCACTGTCATCGTAACTGTTATTGTTTTAAATCATCACAATTTCGAGAGTATAACTTCATATAACAATGTCTGAAATTTTATTTTGACCGGTTGAGTGGATAGGCTGCTAGGAGTTCATATATCAGGGAAGAATTTTTACGATCACCCTGTACATTCAAATTCATTTGCAGAGCCTTTTTTCCAAATTTTGCCTGCCTGTTACCATGCGGCTAATGCCTCAGAAAACTGGTAGTTACAGTCAAGTCCAGATGCAAAAACCACAAACAAGCAGATAGTGTACTACCAGCATATGTGTTTTTATGGCCCCTTTCCATTGTATTAGAATTTCCCCCAGAACGACACCTCTTTGTAGATAAACAGCCCTTAAGTTCTTTGCTGCAATCGGCCAACTCACTCTAAATATGCTTTCCAAATATATTAATTTCAAATAAGACTCACCAATGGCCATACAGCTAAAGCAAAGAAACACTGCCATGATAATCAGGTTTTAGTCATGATAATCACACAGGGTCAATGTGGGCTTTTTATAGCTTTCCACTATACGTAGAACAAATATCAGCCAGTTTCCATTACAAAGTTCTCCATAAATACATTTCTTCCTCCTTTTATGCGTAAAGGCCTAATATTTTATCTTAACTAAAACAATCAAATCAATTTAGAAATGGTCTTCTAAACCACAGGGATAATTTTTCTTGTCATGCCACCCATAAGATTTTTTCATAAAACTAATCTTGTGATCAAACAGTAAGTGTTATCGGTCAGAAATGTGTTTTCTTTATTTGAATACACAACATCATTTTTCAGAGTGTTTAGCAACAAATTTTAGAAACACCTGTATAGTTCTTAAGGAAGAATTATTTATTCCTCAAGATCGAGCAATTTATTATTCCTTAAGAATTATTTAAGCTTTCTTAAATTCTTAAGGCTAAATTTAAAATGCTTCAAAATGTGTGGAAAATATAAAAAAGTTATAAAATAAAATCTTTTACTCCATGCAAAAACTAAGCATCCATTAACAACAAACATAAAACAAAAGCATACAACTAAACATTTAATCAAAAAACAAAGAAACAAAAGTATGTATTCATACGTTCACAGGACATAACAGGAGGTTGCCAAAATGCAGTTTCATTATCACTCAAACAAAAGCTATAAGCATTTTCAGTGGAACTCGAAACATATCCATCATTGCAGGTGTAAGTGATGTTTGTTCCAACAAGGAATGTACTGTTTAAATCCTGAAGCAGAGCTTTCCCATTTATAATGTCAGGAGGTTTTCCACAAACTTCTAATTATAACAATAAAAGAAAATTCTTATTACGCATATTTAATACCCAAGGTTGTTACATTCAAAACTATAATATCATAGTATATCAATCTTTGGTAGGCTTACAAGTTATAATTTATAAACAGATATAATGAGTTGTCTGTTTCTATTTTTTAATGTACACTGCACACACAAAAAAGGGCAAGCAGTTTTATATCTCCAAGGAAAAAACCTTACGATATTATGTAAAATTTGTTTATAGCACTACAATGACATTTTAAACATAAAACCGATCTTTTTCAGAAATGACATGGGGCTTTTTTTATTCTCCATAATTCAGCTCTATGCCTCATATTATGTCTAAATCTTGTAAAATAAACATCATTTAGCACATATGTGCATATGAATTTGGTGACTATTTTCAGCTTTCATTCAAAAGTTTTAAGTACAAAACTTCTAATTTGCATTCCCTTCTTTTTTCCCTCATCAATGAATCAGCATACAATAAAATCTATAGGAATATTGCTGTGCTTATTAAGTCTGGATTTAGGTCAAAATATACTTGCTATTTTGAAAAATGTGATATATTTTCAATATATTAAATCCCTAAATTAAAAACACTTTTGCTATCAAAGAAATGTGTAGCATTTTAGAAAAGAAATTCATTTGTAATTTTATTCACTTATGAATAAAATTTAATACTTCAGTGATAATTTAATAATTTATGAATAAAATGTAATAACCTGCCATATAAAGATTAAGAATTTGAATTTAAGATCTGTTATGAAAAAAGCTTGTCAACAGAAGGTAAGCAAGAAAAATATTAAGCTTTTCAATGAATGAGACTAGTTATAACAATTCATAAAGTATTTCTTTTAAATTTACCTCCAGAATTTTGTGGAGTTAATAATTCTTAACACAGCCTTTATTTATGTATTATTTAAAACAGAGCAAAATTATAATGTTAGAAAAGATAACTTGGCATGTTTATCTCATAGTGATCATCTCCAAATAATGACCACCTCTAAAAGTAATCAGTATTTTTGAAAACATAATTAAATAGCAACAAGATAGCCACGTTCTCTAGCCACCTTCACTGAAAAAATCAAAGAAATGACTTTCCATTTCAAGTAGATTCCAATGTACACTGTGCAAAAATAAAATAAATAAATAAATAAATAAAAACAAAAAGGACAGTTCTGTATCTCCTGTTCTTCTGGGCTGATTGACAAAAATTCAAATTGTGTTCTTCATGTCTTGAAAGCATGACGTAGGATAACATATTAGACTTATATATAGCATTATTCTAATATAGGTATTTTGACACAAAAATCAGACTTTTTCAGAAATAACATACCAATTTTTTCCATATTTCGATTCTACAACTTAAATTATGCTTAGATATTAAATTTTGTAAAATCTGGCACGAAATTTACGGAGATACTCAAAAATTTATCTTGCCATAATTTTTCAATTTGCATCAAGATTAATTTATTTGCCATACTTCTTAATATATGACAACCAATTTTCCTTTCCCTTCCATTACGCCAAATCGGGAAAAAAAGGCACCTCGTTTCCTACCTTTTTACATTGTGCAAGAGTGGAAAAAAAGTTACATCGTTCTTACTTTGAAATAATTTTAGCAAAGTGTCTAAACCACATTTGAGGCTTCATCACTTCAACAAATATGCCAATTTTAAAACGTGCCAATATATAAATTCACATATATCTTTGGAAATTTTGAATAAAAAACTCATTTTTTGTAGGTATGCTTAAAAATACGTCTACATTAAGCTGATGGTAAAATTTTTATAAATTATAAGTCAAAAATTTTTTGAAAATTATTTAAAAATACAAATTTTAAAAATAAATCTTATAAAATGGGTGAATTTTATTTGGAATGAACCTGAATTTCGAAATGTGAAAGGAAGAATCAAATAAGTTTAATAAAAAAGGAGAGATTAATAAATATATACCAAACTCAATTAACATTGAGAAGCTAAAATTTTGAGAGGTAATTTTTTTAAAAACTACTACTGCGATTTTTACAAAACTTGGTAGTTTGGCATAATTTGAGCCATAGAATTGAAATATGGAAAAAAATTGGCATGTTATTTCAGAAAAAGTCCGATTTTGTGTCATACCTATATTAGAACATTGCTATATATAAATCTAATACATATCCTAAAGTCACACTTTCGAGACATGAAAAACGCAAGTTGAATTTTGTCAATCGGCCCAGTAGAACAGGAGATACAGAACTGTCTCCCCCCTTTTTTTTTGCGCAGTGCACATGAATTAAATATACTGGTTATCAATAATTACGGAAAAATCACAAAAATGATGATTACTCTAAAGGTTACATGTAGAATTTAATGAAACTGATCCACAGTATACAACACATAGCAAGGTATAAGATAACATGAAATTACCAGACAATTATTGTGTTACAGAAATTAGCATCTATATAAAATGACCAAATCCAGATGTGTCAGTATGGTATAGGAAAATTACCTTCAATATGGAGTATGAGCTTCTCTAGAAGCAATATAGCACATAGTGCGATACTGTCAATTATGGAGTTTTAACAATTACGTTGTAAGTGAGAGCATTGCTCTTGCAAAGCTGTGTGGCAAAAGTCTGAAGTGGAGGATTAAGAGCAGTTATACGTCTTCCTAAAGCATCCCAAATATGATTGGCAGAACTCAGGTCCTGTGATCGAGCTAGCCAATCCATGTGCTGAATTGTTTGCTGTTGAAGATAATCATCCACAATGCAAGCCCTGTGTGGTCAAACGTTGTCATCTTGTAGCAGAAAATTATCACCTACTGCCCTGGCACAACAGTGCATATAAGCATCCAAGATGTCATCTCTATAAGCATGAACATTCATGGCTCCACATGGAAAGACATGGAGGTCTGTGCATCTACCCAAAGAAATACCATCCCGAACACAGACACTGCCTAATCCGTATGCATGTCTTTCCCGAATGTTTGATGGATCATAATGGGTTCCAGGTTCTCTCCAAAACAAATAACGCCTACTATCACTCTGGAGGCTAAACCTGGACTCATCCATAAAGAGAATTGCCCTCCATTGATCAGCTGTCCAGTCGACATGTTGATATGCCCACCTCAAACGTTCGTTTCTATGACAAAATGTAAGCTGCATGCAAATGGCTGGTCACCTCCTTCATGAAGCCTTCTATACACGGTTGACATTGACACCAATCTTCCAGTGGCAGCAGCAACAGAGGATCAGAGATAAGACGGTGTTGAGGTTCTATTCCTTTGTGCACATAACAAGAAATATCGGTCATCAGAAATATTGGTTTTACATTTTTGTGCTGTATCTTGTGACCACGGTAAAGATTAATGAAAGGGAATAACTCAAATATGCACATATAACTTTTAAGGGTGACCAGTTAGTTACAAATAATTAAATTAGCTAGTTGGATACCCTTAGTCATTATAAATTTACATGGCCACTATTAAAATTATTATTTTTTTTTTAATATTTCTTGAAAAAGCACTATTAAAATCACAATCTATTAACATGTCACAGTTTAAAATACATGTAATTTATGACACTTATTCTTAAATGACATTAAGATTAACAAATTTAATGTGCTTAACTAAACACATTAAAAGCTACAAAACATTAACATTTTGTAGCAACAATACTCAACAAAATGTTTATGCATCTTTTTAATTTGAAGCCTTTCCAGACATTCTAGCTAATTTATATCAATTTTCTTCTTTTTAAGCATCTTTTCTAACAATTAGAAATTAATTTTAATATGTAAACTAATATTTCCACTAGTTTCTGTGTGTTTTATCTCCTAACTTGTCAATCTCTCGACCATGTACCTATGAGGTTTCACTTGATCTGATAAAAGTTAAATAGTCCAAAACCTCAGACAGAAGTTAAACAAATTATTGCTGTCGTCTGAAAATAACTACAATGTCAGACAAAGGTCTTATTTAACTTCTTATTTAAAAAGACCTTAGAACACAAAAGCATGTTCTTGTGCTAGCAAAATCAACTACAGCTTATGGTGATCCAATTAAATAGAAACAGTCAAATTCAAACTAAAAATTTGGACTAGTAGTCAAAAACTACACAATTTAATTTTAACCTAAGCAGGCTCAGTAACACATCTAACAAACTTGTAACTCGTTGTAACGTAGTTATCACACAACAAATTCAAATATCAGCAGCGGTAATGCTAAGATGAATAATTACAAATTACCAGAGTTGGTAGGAACTAATGCAGCATGCCAGTGGAGGCCAGAAACTAATTCTGTCTTTCAACCCCAAAATCTCAGTTTAAAAACTATCTAAGTGACTTTCATTTTGGTGAGGAACTGGAAAGGGAAAATTATAGCAAAGGCTGAAATTATAAACAATTGCCTAATTTACATAATAATAACTGTACATATCTTTGAAGAATAATTTTCTTCATCTTTATGTATTTGGTTTCTTAAATACATTTCGTCTTCATTTTAGAATTTAATTAAAGATTTCTGTTATTCTAAAAAACTAAATGCATTTAGAATGTATAGGAAAAAATGCTAATTTTATTTTTTTTAGTAATATGAATATTCAGAATAAATATGAAATAATACGAGGGTTGGAACTTTAATAGTGGCAACACAGCTGAAAAAACGCTACGCAACAAAACCAAAGAATATCGTGTATACCACACGTAAACTACATACCTACCTTACCTCTCAGCAAAAAGACTCGTTCTGCCTACGTCACGCGCATGCAGAGTGACTCGAAGAACGGATCCTTGTATTAGCTCACAATCTAAAGTAAGTGTTGTCAGGATGTTTTCAAAACAAGAACAACGATGTTGGATAAAAATTGAATGTGCCAGAGGTCGTACAGCACGACAGTGTCATCAAGGGCTTCAAGAGGCTTGCGGGGAATCTGCATTGCCTTACAGAACCATAGCAAGATGTGTGAAAGCATTCAATGAAGGATGCCAAAACGTGGCAGACATGCTACAGCCAGGT